TGATGATTTTGTTAGTTGACTATTACAAAATTTTCACTTTACAGTTTGTAAATGTGTGAATTCCAGATATTTCATTCTGTGCAATATAAGTTTTAAACCTTTTGTATGTGTAACAAAAAAATAATATACATTTGTATCAGTAAACAGGTAAAAAAAACAAAAAACAAGCCATTTATTTTTATGATTTTATTCCAATTTGTGAAGAAAAAGAAAGAAAAAAAGAAAAAAAAAATGAGGATACATATTTGAATAGTGAAGTGAAATGAGAGGAAAATGATAGTAGGAGCTATGGAGCCTCTATGACTTCATTAAATAAAAAATGAAACAATAAAAAAAAATAAATGAAGGAAGAAATACTTTCCCAGGATCTAGATATTGTAGATTCTACTTCAGTATTCAGTTTGGTAACCATCTATAAAGCTGAACTCTGATAATGGAATAATACAAGCTAAAAATACAATATTATACATACCTAATATGCCTTGCCTTCTGTAAATATGTCCACTAGTATATTTCTCTGGTGGTGCTATTCAATGTGAATTTCAAACCCAGATTACTTCAAAAACAATAATGCTTTACCTGCAGAGAAAGCACACTTCACCTGCAGCTCATATAGTAATTGCCTATTTAAAATTTTATATACATTTACAACCATTCCTTCTTGATATATATATGATCCTAGCCCTACACTTTGAAACTGGCACACATATCACATTTCCCAATTACAGTAGCTACTAATGCCATATCATGAGGCTGTTGATTCCTCTAGCCAGGCAACTGATGTATTGCTCATTTTCGTCGTAAGGTCAACACACACACACACACATGTAACTTTACCCCACAATAGATACAGTTAACTACAGACAGGTAGAGTTAAAATGCTTCTGCACGCTTTTAAATCTTTGACAACTAATATCAGGAACTTATTCTGGACATACAAACCTATGATTACTATCACATCCCTACTCATCCTCTCAAGTCAGTTATAATTTTAGTAGGCTTATCACATATAGCAAATTCTACAATGAAGAAAATGGAAGGAGAAAATAAAAAACGTAACATATCACTTTCACTCTATATGCTGTTGGTGATCTTGCCTAAGTGACTAATATGTAAAAAGATCTATGAAAAAAAACTACTGAAGGTTTAATGAGGGTACCTTTACATTAACTATGTGAAAGTTACTTTTGAGTGAAATATAACAAACTCAGTGCTTAAAAGAACGTAATGTCTGTGAGTTTGATTTATCTTTTCTCACAAGTCAAGTGAATGA